CGCAAGGTTGACGCAGAGAGAAGAAACAAAGTCAGAGGAAGTCCTACAAAAATCGCCAAGTAAGGTTGCAACTGCACAATCTCCAATCATTTCTATAGGAGCGAAAAAGAAGGAACTTGGATTGAACACAACAACTGCCATTTCTCCCACATCCTTACCTTCTCCTTTAAAGGAGAAGAAAATGAAGTTTGAGCTCCCACCTACGCTATCTCCAAAGGTTATGAAGGATAAAAAGCATCTCAAAGGAAAAGTGGTACATTCTCCTGCAGAGCCTCAGACTCTCACTCCTGTCGTCATGCCAACAAAAATAGAAGAAAAATCTTCAAAAAGCGAGCCACGACGGCCGAGTGTAGTGGAGGAAATGGTGAGCCAAATTATCAGCATTAGTATCATTTGCAAGAGCAAAGCTTTTCTTATAGAATGCAGTGCGAGAGCTGGGTTCACCTCAAGATGATGCGACCGATCGAGATGGTTTGTCGCTTGAGACCATAGATGTGCATTCAGTTGTCGATTTACGGCAGCATGGAACGTTTTACGTTGCAATGCCAGATGAATCGCGGATAGAAACAAAGGTATTTGCCATATAGTAAAATTTCAATGAGCAGCTCATTTTCAATTCCAGGGATCAACGAACATTCAAGGATCCATAAAGTTGGCAGATGATGGTAAATCGCCGAAGGTCCTTGCTTACATAAATGTTGGGTAGCGGTCATTATCCCGGACAGAAATCTAACAAGGAAGACACAAAGATTAATCTTTACATTTATGTATTATGAGGCGAAATAAATGTTGAAAAAAAAAATTGAACGAGCAGACGGGCGAAAGCACGAATTTAGCCGCAATTTGAAAATTTTATAACAAACATTTCCATTTTTACTTCCAGCTGATGTAATACTAAGATTAACAATGTAAACATCAATGTAAACAAGATACAGGCGTCTGCTCAATTTTTTGGAATTCTTTACGATGATAGAGGAAGTGTTAGAGGGACTTGACGCCATCTGAGATGTCGAACTTCGAACTTTTCATACACTCTGCAAAGACTATCCAGATTCAGCCATCAGAAGTTTTTGGTCTTTTGATTGTGGTTATTTGAGGAACTCTGCGAGACAT